ATTTATTTAATCTGAGTTTTCATTTGTGGAAAAAATGTAAATGTTCTCTGTTAATACATATTAAATATACGTTTTTCTTTTGTAACAACAAAATAATACTTCAATTCTCTGGGTGTACGCCCTATTGAGACAAGCTGGCATATGTTGATATGTCATCGTGTCTTTACAATGTGGCTGCCTTAGTGTTCTATGCTGCTCGCCTAGATAGAACGAACATACTATAGAATGAGATTTAATATTTATTTTTACCTTTTTGTATGAGGTTTCTATAGTTATCCTGATCCTACACTGAGCGATCTTATTTAGTAGTGGAATAGTTAAAATAAAAATCCTGAAGAGAGACCAGCACCTGCCCCAGACATTTGTCTGCACCTGGGGTTCTGGACGGAGGTTTGTTCAGCTGTATAATGACCAACAACAGCAGGGATCGTCATTATCACACTATACACACACTCACTCTGATCAATCACAGAGCTGGTATACAGTGTATCACATGGAAGGAGTTTAAAGGACGAGATACACAGTGAGGCTATTTGGAACATTATCAGAATTCTAGAGTGCAGTTATTTGAAGAAAGTTTTAGGGTGTATTTAATTAAAGGAAGACACTGCGCTGTGATGATTTGGGCCAATGGGAAGAGATGCAGGGTGTAGTTATATGGAGTGCTGTAGCTGTGATGAGCACTGAAATGTGTTAGAAGTATTAATTACAGGATATAGATGGTAGACTTTGAGGGTTAGCCGCACAGTAAGTTATTTATTATCGTTTCCTCTCTCTCTCTCTTCCTCTACCTTCGTGGGGTTTATTCACTAAACACGGTGTTGTCGTAAAATAAAAGCAAAAATCCACTTTTGGGAAAACAAAATCCAAGTTGGCTATTTTAGTCTGCCTTTATAATTCAGTTTACAGTTGACAAAAATCCGGTATTTAGTGAATACATATTCATGTGTTAAATGAGGATTGTTTTATCAATAGAAATTAAACTGCACACTGGGTTATTGGAGGTAGATGAGATCTAAACCCCCAATATTGGGATATTTTGCGATGGCCCTGTGTGGGGATGTACGCCTCACTATTAAATCATTGCTAGATGATATCCCTCTCCTACAGTCCCAATATAAGCAAACATACAATTACTTCAAACACAGAGATACGTTCTCAGGAATGATCTGCTAAGCACCGGATTGTAGTGAATTAAAATCAGAGTGGCCTTTACCCCTGGTGCCTGCAGTCTTCTTCTTTCTATGTTATAGATCAAGCTGAACACCTACCCCAAGGTACACCACACCTCCACCAGCAGCGACTTCATTTGCAGTTGGGTGTCGAACAGATGTAATCTTATTAAAGGGTACACGATATGTGGTAGAATCCTTGGAAGTGCAATACTTTGGTTTTTTTATATGCCAGTTTCAAATTACCTCTCATTAGAAAAAGAAAAACATATAGGGTTCTCTCATGATTAACTATAGAGATACATAATTGCCCACTCAAATTTCATTGTTAGATACTTGTCACTTTATTTCTTGAATAAACTTATTTATTGTTTTAAAATGACAAAACTGAAAATAAAGATTGTCACAAAAAAATAAAAAAAATCAGTGGTAGAATTCAGTCTATAATAACGGAGCTATGACTATCCGTTTGGATTTTTTTAAAAATATTTCTGTTTTTACCAAATATAAAAATGTAAATAGTGCAACTTAAAAAAATGTATATTTGTTCAATGACTTTACTTGTGAGCATGCCACATGCACCGAACTACTACAGAAAGGACAACGGACACATGGACAGTTGCTGTTTAGGTTTGTCCCAAACCGGAAGAGTTGACAATTATTTAATGAGATTAAAGGAATAACAGGAGTTGCAGGGGAACAGACCTAGGAAGGTGTTACTTAAGTGATTGTGATGGTTGCTATTATGGAATCATTTTGGGTGTTGAGATTTAGTATATGACTATTTATAGCAATGTGACGACTTATGATTGTTATATGATGTTTAGCCTGAGTATATTTATGATACCATAGAAGAATTTATGGGGTCATTGTCTCAATCTGGATTATAGGGATATCCTGTCGGCATAGCTCATTCTGTCTTATCTCACACAATCTTTTGGTTTGATATGTGTTAAATAGGCCACTAGTTAAACTGAATCTAGAGTCATGCTCCTGGAACCAGCCCATGAAGAAGTAGGAGGAATATGTTGGGCATACTCTGTATATCTGACTGTCCTCTGCTTACACCCCTCTTCTCTAGCTAACTTTAACTCTAAATACTGCTCGTTCCGCTTCAGTCCGTATATCAAAAGTACTCAGGGGCCAAGCCACGAAGGGGCCAAAATACTCAGGGGCCAAGCCACGAAGAGAAGGACTCCTCCCTATTGGGTTTACATAGTTTTATCAAGTCAGGGTCCACAATCTCACAGCTCCTTTCCCAAGTGTTTCACATCAAATGAGGATGCTTTCTATACAAACTTGCGTGATCAATCTTAATTTTTAAATAGCTGCTACTACACTGAGTGTGTAATTCTCCAATAAAATGTCTGGAGCAATGTCTATGCCACTATTAACCCAGAGCTCAGTTTTAACTAGAATCTCCATAGATTTCAATCTCCTGGCGTGCATTGCTACCAAGTGTACATTTTAAAGGACAATGAAAGTCAGCCTGACCACTTTATCTCAATGAAGTGGTCTAGGTGCAGTGGTCCTGACTTTTTTAACCCTTCCATGTACAATTTTGCCATTTTCTTGAAATAGCATTGTTTACATGGAAGGGTTATATCCACCACTAGTTGCTGTCTTTCAGACAGCCACTATAGTCATTTCCGCCACCATAGTCAAGTTAAAGTTTTAAAGCCCATGCATACTAGCCTCCTAATGCTTCCCTATGGGGAATAATTGGATTGACTGATCTAAGCCATGGAGGCAGAGCAGCCATAACGAGTAAAGGTATGTAAACCTCACCTTTTAAACCCTCTGAGCAAAAGGGCCAGGGACCAATAGTTAGGGGAATACAGGGACATTTTGAAAAGATGCCCATGTTTGACATTGTTGCATTGGCAGTGTGACAAACTACACTTCACCACTGACTTTTGGAGAGGCCTGCTTGCCAGCCTCTTGCCCTGTGACTATGGCCCCTGGGGTGTATTGCCATTTAAAAAGTCTATTTAGGCTTATTGGATTTTAAAACACTTTTTCTGCTCCTTTAAATCCATGGGAAAATGTGCCTCTTCCCCTCCCCCTTTTTCCTGTTCTATTGTTTCTCCAGGAGGGCGTTGTCCCAGGGACACTGCCAGACCAATTGAAACTCCTCAATCTCTCATCAGCCTTTGCTATTGTTTAACCCCATGGCAATCCAACTGTATTTGTGAGATCTGAGCGCTTTTCAGACATATTGAGCGCTCAGATCCAAGCTATCTGGGGATATGTTGGACATATAGGTTAAACATTGTATTATCAGAGTTATGTATTTTTATCTGGTTTTTGTAACAGTTTTTGACTTAGAGATATTTCCTGTTACTGGAGATAATTAGGTTACCACAGCCACTTAAGCCAATTATCTCCAGGATAGAGGAGAAGATAGACCGGCCGCACAACCTAAATCTGCGGAACTGTTGTGGGCATGAAAGCCATGCTTGCAGTAGGTCAAATGTTCCATAAAACCTTTGAACCCCTGCTCTGATCTGGGTGATTTTTGGATATGTTGTTTTGGGCTGTTTCTGGACTTTGGGTAAAACTGGATATTTTCTGGCTGTGGTAATTGAGTTAGTCCATTGTGTTTGGTAATTGTATCACAGGCAGAGGGGAGGGTTTGTGTACATTAGCTGGGAGTGTCTAACTGTACAATACTGTGTTGACTGGCTGTTGTGACTTTGTGTCCTGTGTTCCACAAGGTCCACGTGGGTGGTAACCTTGTGGGGAAAACTGTATATAAGAAATGCCTTTGTGCTCATTAAACCAGTTCTACTTGACCCTCAACTCGCAGCCTCGTCTCGTGTTTGGGGGGGAACAGCTGTAAACACTACAGGGATTTTTGCTATGCTCTTCATACTCCCTTAGCTTTTGTAAGGGCTCTCTCTTCAGCTATACAGCAATACTCTCCGGGAGGAGAGACCCAGCTATACTCTTCTGGAGGAGAGACCCAGTTATATTCTCTTGGAGGAGAGGTCCCAGGGTGGGAAGGAGACTGTGAGATCCCAACCAAGCTACGGCAGTTTGTGGAGTCTGCAGTGCTTATGGTGTCTGGTGCGGTACTGATGGTCCTTGAGAAGCACTAGGAGCATCCGTCGGTGGAGGTATCCGTTACAGGCAGCTTCTACAGTGACCTCGCTGCAAACCAGGATGTAACTCACCCAAGCCTAGTGTTCTGATTCTTTTCAGTAAGAGTTGATCATGACCCTTTACACAACAAATGTTCACGAGACATGTAGCTATATGGAACAGTTGCCTTATCTGACGACGATATTTGCTGGACTCTATTTTTATTAATTAATAGTTTTTATTTAATTTTGTTATTGCTGCTATTCTCTGCTTTTACCGACTTTGGGTTGTTTTCTTTGCTCAAGAGAACTGTGTCCTGCCGGAATTACCTCTACAAGTGGAGATACGCCTATAACTTTATTCTTGGCATTTTCCTACTGAAATTTCTGTTTCCAGTACCCTTGAAAGGGTGATGAACCTGGATTTCATGAGTGTTCTACCTTTTTCCCATACTATATTACACTATGTATTATTTGTAATTTTTTCCAGATACCATTACGTTTCAGTGGATGATTCTACATTCGTTTTCCATGCTGTCATAATTGTTTTTCTTTTATATGCGTGTTTTGTGTTTCCCACCACATTACACCTGACGTAGAGGCAGTATTAGCTATATTCTGTGATGTCCATCACTGCTTGGACTGGCTGCAGTGGTATTTGCTAATATGTGTAGAGGAACGGGGACAGAGGACCTCCTAAGACCACACACAAGAATTTATAGTAAATAAAACATTATCGACACCGTTTCTCCTGTCTGCTTCTTTCTTTATTCTGTGCATCAGTACAAAAAGCTTGTTGTTTGTTTATATATATATAACTCATTTATATTGAGGCTTTGTAAATTGTATAAAAATGTAAACTGGAACAATGAAAAAGAATGTTTTAGATCATTTGGTCTTCTTACCAATTATAGCACCATTATATTATATTTACGATGCACCCTTGTACAGATCAGGCAACAAGAGTTAAACTATGCTGTTATTAGACAGGAAGAAGTTATTGCAATCAGCAGACTTGGAATGATATGTTTTTAAAATAGAACTTTGGACCGGCATTGCGTCCATACTACTCGCACAGAGATTTTCCACTTCGGATGTTTAGCGCGCAGGTTCTGCCCAGGTTTACGCCTTGAAGCAGGAGGTCGGTGAATTTGTCAAGTCCTATGCAGGTGGTTAGGGGAGCCAGGAACCCATATAGGCCACCAAAGAAAATACTCAGGGGCCATGCCACGAAGAGAAGGACCACAAGCCAAAATATACCCCAGCAGACACAGGTACAGGTGGCCATCTCTGATCTAAAGAAGAAGAATAAAATTAGAGCATTAATATAGGTATAAAACAAATATGTGCTTACAGAACTATTACTTCCAACAATTTGTAATATTATGTTTACTTGTCCATTATATTTAATATTATATGCTTATATTCACACTGCTCTATAATTATGGAACAGAGTGGATCTACCTTGGATCCCTGTCAATCATTGTTAGAAACTCTGTACTTCTGGCATCAAACATAGCTTGTGAAGCAACAGTGGGGGAGATTTATCAAAGTGTCCTATTGTGAAAAATGTTGCAACGTACTAAAAGTGGAGCAATGATGATGGAAATGAGAAGAATCAGCAGATACAATCAGTTGGAGTCCCCTCCAATGGATTATACATGTATGTAACAGTTTCAGAACGTGACGCTTTGATCTCCCCCAATGTGTCTGCTTCTCCACCTCTAGTGGACTGTGTCTGGCATGAGCAGGATTGTGATTATTATTTATATAGCGCCAGCAAATTCCGTAGCGCTGTACAATGGGGTATCAGTTGATTAAAGGAAGAGCCATCACTTTGAAACTGCACTGTTGAATAAAACACAGAAAATCACTTATAACGTGTTTTAACTGTTTTAATGCATATCACACAACATCGGCCTCCTGAGAAGCAGGAGAAAGGTAAAGGGGGTTGGCCAGTGACACAATTGTGTTACTATCTCTTTCCAATGGGGCATAATAGCCCTTAGGAAAGGGGGGCAAGTCTGCATGAGGCTGCCTGCCAATCAAGCAGGCCAGCCCAATGGGTAGAGACCAAGCAGGGTGCACTATTTCTGTGCTTTCTGCAGGGTTCTAGAGCCCTGGATTCTCCCCAAAATCAGGACACAAGGAAACAAAGTTGGCGCGGCGGGACAGGATCCAAAATCAGGACTGTCCCTCCAAAATTGGGATGATTGAGAAGCATGTTTAATGTGAACCTTTTCCTATTAAATGTATATTAAAGATTTAGCAAATTATATCACAGTCCAGGCACAGACCGGGAACACATTGCAAATGAGGAAGATAAATAAAACATTTTATTTCTTCTCTTCTCTAAATGTTTTTCTCTCTACTGACTGCCTGGTGCAAACAATACAGATTATAGTGCAAAGAATACGGATTAAAACAATAATTGACAGATGGGGCCTCTCAGTCGCAGGATAAAGAGGTGTGGATTTCTACATTTAAGGGGATTCTATAGTGTATGGAATACAAATCTGTACTCCTTACACAATACAGGTGGTCCTCATTTAGCGACCTACCTGTTTTACGACGGCTCGCACTTACGACCAGTAGTCGTGTAGATTCCCTGCTCTGGTGCGCATGTTTTCACTCCGCAAGAAAACACGCTGGCACTACCAAGCATGAAAAAGCTCAATCGGTTAACACCAGACCAGCAGGCACAGCTTTAGCAAGTCTCACAAAGAATCGGCTTTATTCAAGATTGCCCAGTGCCTCTGGTAGGTGTCGGGCTAAGTCGTGACTGTAGACTCGAGTGGTATCTATACCGATACCATGTTCCTGTCCCAAAGAAAAGCTTAATAATGGTTTCTTTTTCTATCCACTAATTCTTGCTGTGGCTCAAAGCTTGACCACCCACTGGGAGACATACCTAGCCTCTGACATAAGCGACGGGGTATCTGGAGCGACATAAACCTGTATAGTTTACTACATATTTCTGACTATTCTAAAGTCTCTATGTTAAAGCCAGCGCCGTTGCCTAAGCCTAAGCATGATTTCATGAAGCTCCTCATATCATAGCACAGCTAAAACGCCTGCAAACTAGACAAGTCAGCTTAGTATGACACTCGACTGTTTCGTACCTTGTATATCATTATAATATCATTTCTTGTCTTACTCATGTTCCTATTTTGCTATAACAAAAAAAAGTGCAGTATCTCTTGACTTCTTGTGCCTCTATTTGTTTACTATGATTGTGTTGTACAAGTCATTGCTTACGCCTGTAATATACTCTGCACTACTAAAATAAAGAATTATAAAAAATAAAAAAATAATAGTTTTTAGTTGACAGTTGTCCTTCAATGTTCTCCATAGTTCTGTAAATGGTTGGCAGGTGCTGCATATTTAAAATAACCTGACCTTCGATCTCAGCAACTATTCTTCCTTCCTCATTGTCTTGGTTACATATTTAAAATAACCTATCCCTTGATCTTAGGAAATTTTTAGGTAAGGATTGGCTCTTCTGCTTTTTTTTTTTTTTTTTTAATTCTTTATTTAAGTTGTCGACAGGTGCAAGAACATTGCATTTTCATTTTCCGGTACAATGCATGTCTGGTTATACAGAGGTGGTTAACAGTATCAAGATCTTAGCTGGGACCTATACTATCTGTAACTGCAGTTCGTTATTAATGCAGTTTTCAAGTGATCTATAGATGAATGAAATGACCGTTCTGTTACTGTGTATCTACACTTTACGTGACACAGGTCTTATTTAGTGTTATTTTTCACGGTGCTGTAAGTAGAACTGAACCTTTCACAAATAACGTTAATATCTCTAAAGTATTACACTGTCTGAAAAAAGGATTAATAATAAAAAATAAAAAAAAGTAGTCCGTTTCTGACGTAAAGTGTAATAAGTCTCCTTGACGACTGATGCATAAAGGCTATTACCATGACCGTTTTCACATTTGAAATGCGTTCTTAAAGCGGCACTGTCATGACGAACTTACCTTTCCCTAATCGCTTCCTCTTCTCTTCCTCTGTCAGAATCTGCTCTAGTTTTCTTTTAAACATAAGACAAAGTAGGGACTATTTTGTCTTGTGTATATTTCCTACGCCTGACCAGCTATGACCAGCGGAGGAGCAAAGTGTGCTCCATTTCCTGTGGTCAGAGCAGTTCTCCCACAATTCTCACCTTTTCTCCGTGATGCTTCCTGTCAGTATTCCCGAACGTCCTGTCACTTAGAATGAAATTCGCCGGCATTCTGTCTAACAGAATGAGAACAGTTTGTTTATTCATGTTAGGACAACACTCGGTACTTTTAGGTCGGTTCGAAATTTCATTTGAAGCTGCTTAGTAGATAGCTTCCTAATTCCCACGGTATCAGGGAGCTATCTAGCAAAAGGCTGAAAGACCAAGATTTGTCTTTCAGCTAACTTTACTAATACAAAGTAAAAATTACTTAGTATTAGTAATTAAACTGCTCTTACTCGCTATATCGCGAGTAGAGGCAATAAATGGCCCCATCAAGGGGCATCTCTTAACTAGCCTGGAGGGGACATAGTGTCCTCCCCAAACCCCTACCCGTGCCCCGCGAGTGGGGGCTATTTAACTTAATGACATAGACATGAGCGGCGGGTGGGGACCCTAAATAAAAATTGGGGGAGGGGGACCTATTGTCCTCCCCCGTGGCCCCCACCCATGAGCGGCTGGTGGGGGTCCTAAATTACAAAGAGGGGGGACCTATTGTCCTCCCCATTGGCCCCCACCCATGACTGCCACTGGAGGCCCTAAATGAAAATTGGGGGGGACCAATTATCCTCCCCTGGCCTCCACCCATTAGCAGTGTGTGGGGGCCCTAAATTACAATAGGGGGGGACCTATGGGCGACGGGTGGGTGCCAAGTGTAAAAATACCCCCCAAGATGACTAAGGGTCCCCAAGATCCTAGTCACCACCCCACCCAACTAAAATTAAATAAAGCCATACCTATCCCCCCGTCACCCTAAAAATAGTGAGGGGTGAGACAATAAAACTAAATACCTGTAATAAAAAAAAATACTTACCATTTGATGTCTTCTTTTTTTCCTAAAAACCTTCTTTTTTCAGCCCCAAAAAAGGCCAAATAAAAAAAAAACATAATACCCGTCAAACTTATAAAATAAAAAAAAATTTGGACACCAAAAAATATTCCATCTTCACCCAGGGAGGGCACCACGCAGACTGAGTTCCACAGGGCGAGCAAAGGATTATAAAGCCTTCCCACACCCTGCAATTAGGTTTAGAGCACTCTGATTGGTTGATTCTAAGCCAACCAATCAGAGTGCTCTGACAGGTGAGTCTCTACATTTACCTGTCACAGCACTCTGATTGGTTGGCTTGGAATCCAACCAATCAGAATGCTCTGAGTCATTTTACACAGCGTGGGAAAGTTCTTTGGAATTTTCCCATGTTGTGTAATTTGACTCATAACACTGTGACAGGCTGCTCACTGTAGACATGACATTTAAATCTCATATTGACCCCCATAGAGTGAGGGAGGACATGGGGGGCTTAGGAAGTGGCGGGGAGCACAACTCCCTGCCGCTTCTATCTTTACATATTACAAGGAGGGAGCCGTGCGCCGGTAACTCCCTCCTTGTAATAAACTAAACGAATGAACAAACGAACACCGATATTCAGTGCTTGTTCGTTCGTCTGACATTTATATTCATTCATTCATCTTTCTGACGAATGAAAAGACAAAATTCCCATCCAATTTTCAGACAATGGCGAATGCCCAAATGTTTAACTGGGCGTCCGCGGGAATTTCACAGCACTATCTAGTGTGGGCAGATGACGTGTCCCACAGGGCCTTTATCTACCCACGCAAAGATGGCGGCACCCAGGACCTAGGTCCGGGAACCAAATTTTTTTAGGAGTGACTAGGGAGGGAATTAGATGTAGTGGAGTCGGGAGGGGGGTTATTAAAAAAAAAAAAAAAATTATGCGGCCATGACAGTGCCGCTTTAAATAGACATATGACAATGAAAAATTCTGCTAGAATAATAATGTCAATGTCTAAGAATTGAAACCTGAGTAATTAACACTCTCTTCTTTTAAAAAGATGGCCATTATAAGTTAGACCATCACCAGTGATGTAGTACATGTTGCAGCCATGCCCAGAACTACTTTTGTTTGCTGCAAATGTGAAACTATTCAGGAGAAAGCTGAGAATTCTCTATCTGTCATCATCCCTCCATTGTTTTCAGAGGGTTGTGCCATGAAATCTTGATGATTTCAGCCAATCCAAAGCTTTCTCATAGGGAAGCATTGGGAGGCTATTGCACATGCACAGCAAAATGCCATGCTGCATCAATCCATATCACCTGATAGAGATGCATTGAATCAATGCACCTCTATAGTGTTCAGCTGAACGCCAGTGCAGCACTGGACCAGGAAGCACCTTTAGTGGCCGTCTGATTGACTGCAATTAGAGGTGTTACTAGGCACCAATGTAAACACTGCCTTTTCTCTGAATAGGCAGCGTTTACAGTGCCATGCCTGCTTTAACAGGCTATAGACACCAGAACCACTACATTAAGCCATAGTGGTTCTAATGACTATAGTGTCCCTTTAAGGTCAAAATAGCCAAACTATAAAATTATCTTAAGTAAGATTGGTTACAATGGCCTTGAAATTTAAATTCACTTTGTATTCTCACTTGAGTGAGTAAGTCTGTATGTATATATAAAAAAAAAGCTGAGAAGCATGTCTAATGAAGGACAATGCTTATATGGGAGCGGTGAGGGAGCGGTGATGTCAGCATATCCGTGTCAATGTGACCTTGGGGAGCAAACACAAGATAAGGTTACCAAGAAACGAGGGAAGTCTCTTACAGTGTGAAAGCAGTCAGTACTCTTTCTAACGTGATCTTATGTCCCAAGACACAACTGACCATGTGCATGTATGTGGTCCTGTGATTTAGCAATCTCACCACAACAACAGTTTTCGTGAAACTGTTTAAATCTTGTTTGACAAAAACTGAGAGATCTCCTAGCACAGAAAAAAGGGTATTTGGGGGGCACACTTGGAACATGTATTTCTCAGTCGTGTAGTATATTTAAAGACTTAAATATATACAAAATACAGTTTACGGAACAGCACACACACAAAAAGATCTCCCAATAACCTAAGCCCCCCCCCCCCCAATCCCTCACCTCTGCTATAGACATGATGATATAAAAGTTCCCAGCAATATTTTCTGTACAAAATTTACAAAATATTTGTATATTTGCATGTCTGTGCAATGGGAGGATGCGGACACTAGGGTAAAGTAGGATTCTGCTCTGACAAATTGCCTTTAATCCCTTTCTGGTGCCAATAAATTGAAAGTACGTATGCATTCTCCTCCATCAGTCCTCACACCCTATCACTAAACACTTAAACAAATATTTTGAACAGATGGTAAGTGTAATTTCTCAGTATGATGTCCCAAGGTGATCGGGTGGGCTAGGGGTGTCGGTAAATCCAATGCATTTTCATAAATCACTTGACAACACTTTGATAAAAAACAGAAGGACCTCACGCAGTGGTGCTTGTAGTGTCCCTTTAAGTTATTTGGTTGCTTTTACAATAGGAAAGTAGAGGCTCTGAATAACATATTTAGCTAAAAATACTCAACTTTCAGAGCACATTGCAGGGAACAAATGGCTTTAATAGCGAAATAAAACTGTGTTTTATAGAATATGGTTATTATGTGTGTATAAGATTTCTGTAAGTGTGGAAAATTGTGCATCCGTGTAAAATTGTTTAAAGTCCAAGGCAATAGAAACATAGAATGTGACGGCAGATAAGAACCGTTCAGCCCATCTAGTCTGCCCAATTTTTTTTTTTAAATACTTTCATTAGTCCCTGGCCTTATCTTATAGCTAGGATAGCCTTATGCCTATCCCACCCATGCTTAAACTCCCTCACTGTGTTAACCTCTACCACTTCAGCTGGAAGGCTATTCCATGCATCCACTACCCTCTCAGTAAAGTAAAACTTCCTGATATTATTTTTAAACCTTTGTCCCTCTAATTTAAGACTATGTCCTCTTGTTGTGGTAGTTTTTCTTCTTTTAAATATAGTCTCCTCCTTTACTGTGTTGATTCCCTTTATGTATTTAAATGTTTCTATCATATCCCCCCTGTCTCGTCTTTCCTCCAAGCTATACATGTTAAGATTCTTTAACCTTTCCTGGTAAGTTTTATCCTGCAATCCATGAACCAGTTTAGTAGCCCTTCTCTGAACCCTCTCTAAGGTATCAATATCCTTCTGCAGATACGGTCTCCAGTACTGCGTACAATACTCCAAGTGAGGTCTCACCAGTGTTCTGTACAATGGCATGAGCACTTCCCTCTTTCTACTGCTAATACCTCCTCCTATACAACCAAGCATTCTGATGCATTGACTTCTATTTTTTTTGTCTATATAGCTCCAACATATTCCATAGAGCTGAACGTTTTTGTTCATTTGTACATCGCCATTATTATAGGACAGTAATTGCAGATTACTAATTTAACGGTATCATAATACAATCTGATGGTATTTATTATCTCAGGTATTTTAACGCAGCTCTATAACTGCTGAATGAGTAAATAGTTATCTTCGTAATGGGTGTAACTGCTCTGTTCTGTTTTGCTTTTGCTATGCAGTAGTGATCTTCTGATCTCTGTAAATTTAAGGCGAGAAGATTATTTTCAAAGGAAATGTAGGTTTCATACCTTGCCCATAATTGTCTATTTTTGAGGTATTCAAACCATTCAGCACAAGGGAGAATTAATCCCCGAAATATTTTCAGTAATGTAAATTCCATTCACATTCTTTTCAAAACAATTTCACTCTTTGATCATTTAAAATGTTGGAATGTCGGAGTTATTTACTGAAGTTAAACTTGCGACTAACTTAACATGAATTTCAAGTTTAAAGTGATGTAATGAGAAATTTTACTTACCTCAAATTAGCACCAAATACACTAAATACTTCATGTATCACAGAAATACTTGTTGTATTCAATGTAAAACATCAACATATACTCACCATAGGTGAGCTGCATTGGTGTTTTCTTTATCTAACGCCCACCTGCAGTCCATCTTCTGCTCCTCCTCCCGTCTTCAGTGGTTTGCCCTGATTAGGGACACTTCCCCAAGCAGAGTACATTTCCTGTGTAATGCCGATACACTCACTTTTTTGCTAGCATGCTGGCGTCTACATGTTGGCTAGAGAGTTACCATAGCAACTACAGTGCATGTGCTGCGGTTGCTATGCTTGGGAGAGTAGAAGGACCACTTCTGGGAGGTCTTGTCTGCCCTCCCTAGTCAGCTAAATTGTCAGCATGGAGTTAATGCCAAAGATTTGACTGAGAGGTGGAAGAAATACCCATTTTTAAAATAGTTTTTCTCCCAATCAAGCACAATATATAGATAAAATGGTGTGTTCTTCCAAAAGAGCATAAGTGGGGTGGGGCCTCACATATACCCTTCAAGGCCAAAACAGGTGAATTCAAAGCTTAGCTAACTGGGTGGGGGGGGGCTATTTTTGTCTAAAATCAGTGAATTCCAGACAAATCTGACTTTAGTAAAATGCCATGTGTATGTTATACATTAATCTTTATATGGTAGAACACCTTGTATTGAACCTGTGTTGCTTTGCTCACTTTACATTCGTGGATAAGATTTGCAATGACATCAATCTTTAGTTGTGTAGTGATCTTGTATAAGGCGGTAAGGAAAGTTCACTCTATACACCACCTTGCGATATTTCCAGATGGCTCTTCTGGGTATCTCTGACTCTAAATTCTACAAATATTTCAATTATTGCAATGGAGTTACACCATTTCCACCATGTGTGTCTAATGAGATTGCACACCACATATTTTACTGTAAAGATGATCTGATACAATATCTCTTTAACTCACTGTGTGCCAATAGCGCATTGCTCAGTAACTGTCTCTGGGAGATGGAACTTAAAAGACAAGCGATTACACCCTAATTAAAAGACCCCTTGTATATTACTGAATTATTAAGCTTTTTTTTATTTTTTATTGTTTAATATTTTGTATTACTATGAATTTATAAGAGAAATATAATAAAGGGATAATAATAGGAAAGATAAATAATACATGATGATAATGGTATATCCATAAATAAGTAATAAAACATATACCATTCTGATATATTTCTCAAAAAAAGTTAGGAAGTATAGTTTAATGTTAAAGGTAAATGCCAGCGTGCGTCTGTCTGCTATGTACTTGGAACAGAGCGACCCCCATCTGGTGAACTTTGCAATTTTTATCCCTTTAAAACCCTTCATAAATCACTTTGGAGTGTTCGCTGATGACATTATTAATAAACGTCAGTCTTTGCGTAATTAAACGACTTTGTATTAGCTTGGACATTTTTATACAGTTAAATAGTGATTTTTAGACATTAGTGCCTTTTTTGGTGGTTTTGGGAATCAGGACTGCGTACATACATGTGAAATGTATGCCAATTAGCAGAAAGTGCTGCAAACTAAATATAAACATTGGCGAGAATGACACATGTACATTTCAAACAGCATAACGCCAAGAGTTATTGTCAAGTTGTTCTGCGCAGTTATGCTTTGCACGACAAGTTTGGTTTATCACCATTTTGTCAAATATTCGTTCTCCTTGCTTACAAAGTCCTGAGCTTTACAGTCTGCACACTTACCTTTATTATAACGAGAGGTTTTGAGAGGTTACTAGCATGGAGTCGTTTATTCATCAAACCGCTCCGTGCTAGTACCCTCTCAAAAACCTTTTGATTATAATATTTTTTTTATCAAGTTTTCAAAGGAAATATATTTGTTTTTAAATAATTTGTATGTAAAAATAGATAAATAAACATGCTTACTGTTACTATATTATGATACATTTAATATATTTTTATTTTATTATTTATATAGCACCAGCAAACTGCGTAGTGTTGTATAATGGGATGATAGAGTCCTCCAGCCATATACATAGCCTTGGGTTGGACAGTGTTTTAAAACTGGCAGTTAGTCTCTATGGTCTTTCTTGATTCACACCCAGTACCGAAGCAAGGAAGACCATAGAGACTAACTGTCAGCTTTCCATAACTGTCTGATCCAATGTTCATGTATTCGGCTGAAGGATCCTGTAATATACTTAAGACAGGAATGTGTTGATTAAAGGATTGTTATATTAAAAAAAATTGTTTTGAGGTGACAGTTATCCTTTAAATTGGGAATTGTGGAGAATTTACAAGTTATTTTGGAATGGCATGTGTAATTTTCTCATCGAATGCAATGCAGGTGGATACGCACAAGGATCAGTTCACCTTTGCATTAGACCAAAAGCGCCTAAAGAAACATTCCAAGTGCCATAATCCGCTATAGCTATTTCACGGTAAGATGTCAAAGTGTTTTAACATGGTTTGAGAACATACTTTGGTCCAACTGGGTTTTTGAGCTCCATCAGCTGCTTCCGGTCTTCACCAGCAGGTCTCTGATGCAGGACCCTGCTCATTGGCTGAGAATGCTCAGCTGACTCTCTCAGCCAATGAGCATGGCCCTGTATGGTGCTGCTTTACTCTACAGAGTGTTTGAAAACTGGCAGTTACTCTATGATCTTCCGGGATTCACTCACTGCACCAAAGCAAGGAAGACCATAGAGACCAACTGTTGGTTTTCCATAACGATCTGATCAACATTCATGTAATTGGCTAAAGGATCCTGTCATATACTAAAGGCAGGGATGTGTTTATTAAAGGATTGTTATATTAAAAAATAGTTTTGAGGTGACCGTTATCTTTTAAATTGGGAATTGTGGAAAATTTACAAAATGGTTGGAAAGCCTACTCATGTCCAGTTAGATGCCTGTGCTGCATCAACTGCTTCTGGTCTTCTCTAGCAGGTCTCTGTAGAGCAAAGCACGGCTGATGCAGGACTTTGGCTGAAAATGCTCAGCTCACTTTCTCTCTCAACCAATGAGCACGGTCCTGTGTGGTCCTTCTTAGCTCTATAGAGTAATCCGGCTTCTTGTTGGAGTAGACTGAATGTGGTTGATGCAGGGTGGGCACCTGGCAAGAACCGGGTAAGTTGCCAGACTGTGCTAAAATGGTTTGACATGTTACCACGGTGTGGCACCATAACCACTACAGCAGTCTGTAGAGGGATCAGCAGTGGTTAGTATCTACCAAAAGTGGTGCAAGGAAGGACAACTGGTGAACCAGCGTCAGGGTCATGGGCACCCAAGGCTCATTGATGCATGTGAGGAGCGAATGTTAGCCAGTCTGGTCTGATCGCACAGAAGAGCTCAAAATGCTGGCCATGATAGAAAGTTGTCAGAACACACAGTGCATTGCAGCTTGCTGTGCATGGATCGGTGTAGCTGCAGACCAGTCAAGGAGCCCATGATGACCCCGGTCCACTGCTGAAAGCACCTTCGATGGGGATGTGAGTGTCAGACTCATGGAGCAATGGAAGAAGGTTGCCAGGTCTGATGAATCACGTTTTCTGCCACATTGCCACATTGGAAACATTCTTCAGGAATGGTTTGGGGTACATGAGTTCAAGGTGTTGCATTGGTCTCCAAATCAAATTGATCATCTGTGGAATGTACTGGAACAACAAATCCGATCCATAAGGGCCCACCTCTCAACTTGCAGGACTTCAAGGATCTCCTGCTAATATCTTGGTGTCACATACCACAGGCAGGGCCGCGCTTCCTTTAGACAACTTAGGCAGTCACCTAGGGTGCCCCTTAGGGAGGGGCGCCGGCAGGAGCGCCGGTCCCCCTCATGCTGCAACCGCCTGAGCGCTCTTTAGAGAGCTTCAGCTGGCTGCAGCACTACCGGGGCCGGCGCATCCACGAGGGCGCACCGGCCGGGGGCGTAAGATATGAGGGATCAGCAGGAGGGAAGAGCAACGCGCTCCCTCCTGGCAGTCCCTCAGTGTAGCATGGCTGAGCTCCGGTCCGGTCCACGGTACAGGAGCATCCGTTTCCTGTACCCAGCCGGACTGGGACACTGAGTGAGTCAATCCGGCTGGATACAGAAAACAGAAACTCCTGTACCGCGTACCGGACCAGAGCTTGGCCATGCTACACAGGGTAGGAGAGAGGGGTGAGAAGAACGGCGGGAGGAGACCATTAAGGGGGGTGAGGAGAATGGGGGGAGAGAGACCACAGAGGGAGGGGGGGTCCGGGAGAGAACTCTATTGGAGGGGGGATGAGGAGAGACCACTAAGGGAGGGAGGGGTGGCAAAGAGACCACTAGGGATGAGAGGAGAGGAGAGACCACTAAGGGGAAGGAGAGAGAGGAGAGACCACTAAGTGTGGGGGGTAGAAGAGACAACGAAGGGGGAGAGGAAAACCACTAGGAGAGGAGGGGTGGGGGAGAGGAGAGACCACTAATGGAAAGGGGGGGAGAAGGGGAGAGACCACTAATGGAAAGGGTGGAAAGGAGAGATAACTAAAGAAAAGGAAGTTGGGAGAGACCACTAGGGGGGGCCAGAAGAGAACAGAGACCATTAAGGGGGAGAAGAGTACAGTACACTAAGGGAGGCAGGGGATGAGAGTAGAGACCACTGAGAGGGGGAGGGGGAGAGAAGAGACAACTAATGGAAAGGAGGAAGGAGAGACCACTGGGGGAGTAAGGGGGCAGAGGAGAGTAGAGACCACTGGGGGCGTGGGGTAGAGGAGAGACCACTAAGGGGCAGGGGAGGAGAGACCACTAAGGGACAGGGGAGAGCTCTATGGGGGCACAGGGGAGAGGAGAGAGCACTAAGGGATAGGGGGAGCACCAAGGGACGGGGGGAGGGTAGGGGAGGGAGAGAGTACTAGGAGACAGGAGTGGAGAGCCCTAAGGGACGGGAGGGGAGAGCACTATGGGAAAGGGGGCAGGGAGATCACTAAGGGACAGGTTGGATCACTAAGGGACAGTGAGGCAGGGAAGAGCTCTAAAGGACAGGAGAGGAGTAAGGGACAAGAGGTGAGAGAGGATGAGGAAGGGGGGGGAAAGTGAAGCTCAAAGGGGTTGGTAGGACTCAGCCCCTATCCAACCCCACAAACTCTCTCTTTCACACTACACACACACACAATGCTTCCCTTACACACAGAGAAACATACAATGCATCCCTTACACACACACACACACACACACTGCTTCTCTTACACACACAGAAACTCAATGCACCCCTTACATACACAGAAACACACCTTGCATCCCTTACACATACGAACACAGATTCACACAATGCATCGCTTAAACACAACCAGAAACCCACAACACATCCCTTACACACAAACACACACTGCTTTCTATCCCTTACACAAAAACACACTGCATCCACTACACACACACACACACACACACTGCATCACCTACACAAACTGGTATCCCTATACACTGCATTCCATAAGCACACATTTTAGATCCTCTACGCTAACACGTAACACATCCCCTACACACTCCACTCCCTGTGAGCGAACTCATGGGTGGAACATGTAGGCAGGGCCGCCATCAGGGGGTGACAACCATAACGGGGGTTATGGGGGGCCCGGACTGCTTTGGCAGTCCAGAGCCCCACAATTACTCTCTGCACCTGTATATAGAGGTGATCGCTATATATAGGTACAGGCGCGGGCCCCCGGCTCCCTATACTTGCAGAGGGGGCCCAGCGGACTGCAGCTGTACTTTACAGCATTTCCCTCGCTCTAACTCCCGCGAGACGTGCGGCCGTTAGAGCGTTGCCATGGGTTACCATGGCAACGCTCCGCGCAGCGCGCGCACCACATCTCGTGGGAGTTAGAGCGAGGGAAATGCTGTAAAGTACAGCTGCAGTCCGCTGGGCCCCCTCTGTCAGTATAGGGAGCCGGGGGGCCCCACAATGCCACCGGACCACCAGGTATCATGGCATCTTCCCCCCTTCCTGAACCAGGTAAGAAACAGGGAGGGGAGAATAACAGTTATTACATTACATGCATACACTAATAAACACACACACACACACTGCATCCACTGCACTAACACACAAACTGCATTCATTACACTAACACACACACTGCATTCACTACACTAACACACACTCTGCATCCACTGCACTAACACACACTCTGCATCCACTGCACTAACACACACACTCTGCATCCACTGCACTAACACACACACTGCATTCATTACACTAACACACACACACTGCATCCACTTCACTAACACACACTCTGCATCCACAACACTAACACACACTGCATTCACTACACTGACACACACTCTGCATTGACTACACTGACACACACACTGCATCCACTACACTGACACACACAACTCATTCACTACACTGACACACACACTGCATTCATTACACTGACACACACTCTGCATTCACTACATTGACACACACTCTGCATTCATTACACTAACACTGTCTGCATTCATTGCACTGACACACACACACTGCATTCATTACACTACGCATTCATTGCGGGGGGGCCCAGACCTTGTGCTTTGTCAGGGGCCCCAAAATTTCTGGTGGCGGCCCTGCATGTAGGTGGACTTATGGGTGGGCCTTATGGGCAAATTCACTGTCAGACCCTGGGGGCCCAGACCTTGAGCTGTGCAAGGGGCCCAAACAAAATGGACCTGCTTCACGTTCCTCCAGAACATTGACTTTTGTGACCACAGTTACAAACAGCCTCCAGAGATCCTGTTCTACACCAGACCACTGGAGCCAGACTGCAGCCAGAGCCCATCATCATCCTCATCTGGTTGTAAGTAGGCAATCTAGTATATTATTCGTGGCACTAATCTCTAATTTACCTCACATTAAAGGGACACTATTGTCCCCAGAACCACTGCAGCTTAATGAAGTGGTTCTGGTGTCTATAGCCTGTCCCTGCAGGCTTTTTAATGTAAACACACACTGTGGCCAGCATTGGCATTGGTTCATATGGCAGATCATTTTGGTGGGGTCGTGTGATGTCACATGGGGGGGAGAGGTGGCAAATTTCTCATTTGCCTAGGGCGGCAGAAATCCTTGCACCAGCCCTGACCACAGGACATGTTCAGAGGTCTTGTGGAGTCCATGCCTTGATACATCAGAGCAGTTTTGGCAGCACTAGTGGAACCTACATGATATTAGGCAGCAGGTGGCTTTAATTATGTGGCTGATCGGTGTAAATGTAAGCGAACACAGGATGTGACATTTCCCCTTTAACATTAGTGCCTGTCTGCCACCCATTATTGAAAAAGTGGAAAATCACATGTAATAAAAAACATGCTTAACGAAAGTATAAGCTTATTATTCAGTAGTTTCAATTACAGATACATGTAATTGTCCAGCCCTGTGGTAGTTCTGCAATGAGAGATTTCTCTTGTAAACGGCATTGCACGTGTGATGAGTGTGGTGGCTACTAATCCTCCTGGCCGTTTGGGACCAACGCAGGTACCCCCAGATAGAGATGGCCAGTACAGATCTAGGCTTCTTTCTTTTCTGTGGGTGAGATAGCTCACAGTCACCCCCTATAGTGTCTTGCTGCTGTCCTTTGCCAGCTGATAGTTGTCCTATGTTTTAGTGCCCCCTTCTGTCCCCAACCACCCCTTTCACTGCTACCAAACTATAAATCCCAGCAAGTTCAGCCAGCCTTCCACTAGGTTTGGAGCTGAAAGCAGATGTTATTTCGATAGAAATAATTTCAACCTCAAATAATAGAAACATTTTTGTTTTGTTTTATGTACTTTGTTTGTGTTGTACTTTAATTTATGGAAAGGCCCAAAAACTCCACCACTTGTTTGTCTCTTACTTCACTGCAATGGTTAACAAAAAATAGTTTCCTTTCTCTTGAACTGTTAATGCACTTTGTGACAATGTTTAACTTCTCATAAACCAGTGACAGGCAATGTCGAATGTCAGTAGTAATAAATAGCCGGTTATGCCTTGTGCTTTTCTCAGGGTGTGTCACTGTGGGGGAGTCCTGGAATGTATAAACCCAAAATATCCCAAACTGTGTGCGACATAGAAGTCAGCAGAGGCTACAGGTTGCCCATGAAAGGAGAGGTGATAACAGATGTAGCAACGGAAACCCTTTAACGTTTCTTTTATGAATCGTGCAAAATATTGATGTCATTATTTGTTTGTTTCTTTAGGTAACCCCGAAGTATCACATTGTTCTGCAAGAAACCCGATCAACCAGTTTTTGAAAAACAGTAGAAATTTTTATTCAAGTCACAAAAAAATTAGGCAATTGTGATTTTTTTTTAAGCTAAAATTGCTAGACTGTGGAAAATAAATCTCCAGTTAAGCTACTTTGATTCAAAGTTTAGAATTCTGTTTTCCACAATTCCTTATATTTTGGGAAGAGATCCCAGGGTGTCTCAGGGACCCAATGGTAAATAGGTAACCAGTAATCCCCCCCATATGATAGTTATGTGCACCAAATGTGCATATCACGATACCCATTGGCCAGAGTATTTTGTTTGTTATGTAATAAAATAATAATCGCATGCTCTATAATATAATAAAAAAGGTGCACTGTGACTGGTATAAATTCTGTTATTTAAATGTGGATAGGAATTTGGGATAATACGCAGGTAACCCTATTTTCTTGACTTTGTTCTGTGTATTTGGGCTGATGTGCACCGGAGCAATTGCTGCTGCCCAGGAGTAGTGGGAGTTTGAGTGCAGGGCTTTATTTTGTGTGTTGGTATTTGAGGTTTATTTGGGGGTTTTATGGTTAAATGAGATGAACCATTTTATTCGGTGCTGGAGAATACAAGTCAGTGTCCGTGAGACAAATTCTTAGCCCCCTCCCCCCCCCAACCCCCTGATATATGGGAGTCCCTTTCCTCCCAGGGGTAGTTGTACAGTTACAGATATGTCATGTATAGGGAATTGCACAGCCTGGGGATGTGGGTTATCCTCCTGGCAAATTCAGACAGCTAGAAATGTCCCCGTGTAGAGATGAGCCTTTGAGCACACAGGGATTGCCCTAGGTATCCAGGCTCTTCTCTTTCCCAAGGTTTAGCCCACAGTCGATACCTCTTGTGGCTTTTGGAAATTGCTTGGTAATAGTTATGGTGATCAGTAATCCGTATCTTTCACTCCTGCCTGTATATTCCTTTAACTGGACAAACTGTTACTGGACCATGGGAGTAACCCCGTAACCCTTTGCATTCCGCAGTTGGGGAGAGGTAGTCTTGAACTATGTAAATTTATGCCTGTGGGTCATGCACCTCTGGGTTCCCAAACTTTTTTACTTTGTCACAGAAGACATTTCAATAAATTAATAAAATGGCAGTTGTTTTTAGTAACACCACATGCTTTTTGGCTGTGGTAGTTAGACTTTTTAAGATTGAACATATCCCTCTATTGGTTTTTGAGTGGAGCATTATTTAAACTCTTTTAGACATTATTATTATTATTATTTTTTGTTCTGTGTGGTTTTTATTTTTTATTACATTACATTACATTACAGACATACCCTGCCAAACAAATGAGATCATTTGTGATATTCCTATAAAGTTTTACTCACTATTAATTTTATATTTATATTTGTGGCTGCACCCTTTCTGTACGTTATTTTGTACCTGACATATACTTGTGTTTTATAGTAAAGTGCTGATATGAATGACCTGTCATTGTTTAAAGTAGAACCCAATGTTATCTGTTATCCAGCTATCGTCTACACAGAACATGTTGTAGCCTGTGGCAACGTAAACCTAATATAATCTGGGTAACTAGTAACTATACAGTGAATTAGCCATGGGCTTGCTGGTGTTCTACACAACAGTCAACATTTCCGTCTGTTAGTCACATCAAGGTATACATTGCTGCCTTTAATCCATTTATCAAACATATATCATGACTGCGAGCCTATGGGAGTTTGTGTGCAATCATTAAACTTATATTGGAATAACATTTTACACTTTGCATGCAATTGTTCAGTGTAGGAGTGTTAGTAACATGTGATGTTAATTTGTGTCCCACGTTTTATCCGTTCATTTAATGGCATGACTCCCAACACAGGGATGGGCAATGGTAGACCCTTTAACCCCTCCCCACCCCCCAGCTGCTGGAGGACTACAGCTCCCATCATCCCATCATACTTTATCAACTTTAAGAGTGAAAAGACATTTTGAGTGTTTGTTTCACAAAATCTTCAGATCTATCTATTGGCCACCCCTGTTTACAGAATAAAAGGGGGTTCCTCTACCACATGATCAGACCCATTGTACAGCACTACGGAATCTGATGGCGCTATATAAATAATACAATTAGAATAATAATGTACATAAAACATCCACCTGCCTTTTCACAGATGTTATTAGGAGGTCTTTATAAATTGTGATGGCAAATTTTTTTTTTTTTTAAATGGATAGTAGTAATAAGGGGCATCGAGGCACCCTATTGTTGTATTGTGTGATATCTCTAATGTATTGAATAATACCGAGAGCAAAGTGTGTGTGTGTGTGTGTGTGTATAAAAGGAGATTGTTCAGGGATAAATCAGAGAAAGCTGAAACACGCACCAAGATATTCACAGATCAGTTCCAGATGTTACTTACAAGTTATTCTCTCTTCTTCTGTGATTTTTAACTGTTCACGTGTAAAGTACCAAGCAGGAAAATGCACAGACGTCCGCGTTGTTTCCCCAGGGTTTGACGTTAAGAATGAGATATTGTCAGAAATTATCTCTGTTTAAGCCCAGAATCGGTTTCACATGTACTTCCTTCCCTTGTCTTGCAAAATGTTCTTCTGTGAGTGTTTGCAATGCTTTTCCTCTTTTGGCTGAGCTCCAGAGCAGTGAGTGTGACCAGTTCGTTTGTAACTCCTACTGCATGCACATGAATCACTGACATGCCATTGGACACATTGACTGGTGACAGTTTGTTTTGTTTAACAGTCGTGTTTGCATGTAGACAAGGATTTTATAGAACTTCTGTTAAAGAAAAAAGTTTTGTTTCTCAAAACAGGTTTAATGTTTGATTTAAGAAAAAAGAAACTCCAAATAAAGTAGTCTGACCGTCATAAACAGAGAAAACCAAATATAATTTACATTTAGTCTTTAGCTTTATTTATGGAATTAGCAGTTGGAGCAAAATGAGTGGTCCAAAAATTCTCAATATCTTATTATTTGGTGTTGCTATTATTGAAAACACTTGTACTACTCATCAGATATTCAAATAAATATCCACCTTAGAATTTTCCAGCGGTGGCACCTTAGGTGACTGCTTCATCTACATCAAGCATGTTAAACTCAAAGTCTAGCATGGGCCAAATAAACAAGGTTTAAGTTTATGTGGGCCGCAGAAAAAAAAAATACTTACATTTTCATAGAAAAGTAGGTTTATTTTGAAAAGTACAGTATAAAAAAAAAAAAAAACAACACCCCCCCCTCTACTAAATCCCAGTCCCCCCCATATACCAGTCTTTCTCCCCAGCACCCCCCTCTAGCCAACAAGCAGACCCTACTCACACTGCCACTGCCAGTATGCGACTCCGGAGTCTGGTCTCTGGTATACCCCAAATGGCACCATCCACACCTTGTGCCAAAGCGGATCCTCCCGCTACTTTTTGAAACCCTGTAAAGGTGGAGCACGTCGACATCACGTTGGAATGTGACGTGGCGTTGCGTGCCTCTGTGCACCTCCAGGTCCTCCGCTGCCCAGCCACGGCCATCACAACACTGACCCACGCGCACACACACACAGACACACAGACACCCACACACACTCTGACAGACACAGACTCACATTATTGTATTTATCCCTGGGGTTCAGTTGGGATCTTCTATCTGGAACTCAGCCTTCCTGCTCCTCACTGCTCCCTCACGCAACGGTTTAGTAATGCTGGGTGCCGGAATATGATGTCATATTCCGGCGCCCGGCATCACTACAGATGGCGCGCATGGCTGAGCATCCACCTTCTTCTTCTCCGGCCAGGTAAATTTTAGCTGAGTAGGCACCTGCAATGTGGAGAAAGCAGGTGCCTACTCTGCTTGGAACACTAAGCATGTACTCGCTGGGCTGCAAAGATAAACTTCTTGACATCCAGGATTTTCATCGTATTTCCCTCCCTTCTCTCAGGTGTCCATCTTGTGGCCCTCCATGAATGATGTGTATCCGAACTTCCGAAGGCCACTTTCTTTTGTCAGGTTCTTATCCAGGCAAACCAACTTAGTCATCCTGTCTGGCAGACTAAATCAGTCACCGTATGGACATCTTTTTTATTACTTAACTCCTTCCTGGCAACCACCAAGTACTCTGTGTCATGTCGCCAATCATGTTAAGATTTGATCTATATGCAAACCTAAATAACATATGGGTGCTATTCTGCAAACAATTTCATTTCCAAGTACATTAATGGATCATACTAGATCAAGAAAGTTTAGGTAACCAAAATATTTTAATTATGCAGTAAAATGACTGTGAACATAAAATATATGCCAGTCAACATTGGGTATTATGGAACTAGGACAGGATTTGGGTGAATGGGTCTGGAGTGTGGGTATGTCAGTGACCCAAAGCACACCACTCCTGCTGATTACCGATAGTTGCAATGCTTAGTGAGAGTTACTGATGTGGCTTGTGTAGTGCCATGGGTGTAATGGATGCCATAGTGCCGAGTTATTTATTTAACGTGGCTGTGTAATGCATTATCGTGGAGTGTAATTTAACAAACTTCAGGCATAATTCTCGCATCTCTTTCTCAAACTAATGATTCCTTCCCGAGTTTAAACATATTTACAAGAATAGGGTCATTTACTGGAAGCTATTAACAATTGTTATTTGAATTAGTAGTTATAGTACCTCACGTAGAAGAACAGGCAATCTGCAACCAGAAGGAGAAAATCCAAGTTGGGTCTTTAAAGGGATCCTGTATGCTTTAACTCCTGAATACTTATGGTGTCATTACAGTATGGCAGGCATAGGCAACCTTCGGCACTCCAGATGTTTTGGACTACACCTCCCATGATGCTTTGCCAGCATTATGGGTGTAAAAGCAGTATGGGGGATGCCCACAACATCTGGAGTGCCGAAGGTTGCCTATATATTGTTAAGCAAGCAAAGCAGGAAGGGGAATTGGATGTACTTGTCCATCTATGGACAAATGACTTGGCTTGCAATGAGGTTTCAGAGGTTAAGGAAGTTTTTAGTGTTTTTGCCAATGATATACGGCAGGTTGCTTCCACACTGTCATTCTCTGAAGTTCTGCCTGTGCATAACACTCAGAACGACAGGCGGATGCGTATTAGGGACTTTAATTTGTGGCTTGGTGAATGGTGTCGGGAGCAAGGATTTGGCTTTATTTCTCATGGTAGCTCTGTTTGGAATGGAGATAAGCTGTACAAAAAAGATGGTTTGCATCTTTCTCAAAAGGGAACAAATGTTCTCAGTGAGCAGTTCAGAGGTTTTGCTAGGATGTATTTAAACTAGGAGGGGGGGGGGCAAAAGGGTGATAAAACATCAATCCAATTGTCCCCCAAAAGAAGAACAGAAGGTGCCTGTAGCAAGTGTTATCCTTTATATAGGAAAGATAGGGAAGGCAAGAAAGGGGGAGGGGTGGCCTTATATGTGAAGGATAGCATAAAATCTAGCCTAATAAAAGTTAGTGAGGCAAACATAGAGTCCGTTTGGGCTACGTTAGAATTTGGTAATCACACAGTAACTCGTGTAGGTGTGATTTATAGGCCCCCAGGACAAATTGAAGAGTTAGATAATCTACTAGTTGAGGAAATAGCTAAAATGACAATGAAGGGGGAAGTTATCATCATGGGTGACTTTAATCTTCCTGATGTAAATTGGAAAACAAAATTAGCTACTTGTGCCAGGAGCACACATATTCTAAACTCCCTACTGGGATTGTCTCTAAAACAAGTTGTTGAGGAGCCAACTCGTAAAGAGGCCATACTAGATTTAGTGTTAACAAATGGAGATTTGGTATCAGATATTACTGTAGGTGAAAGTTTAGGATCCAGTGATCATCAGTCAGTGTGGTTTAATATAAGAACAGTGACTGAGTCACACCACACAAAAACAAAAGTTTTAGACTTTAGAAAAACAGACTTTTCTAAAATTAGAATATGGGTAGAGGAGTCATTATCAGACTGGAGCAATTTAAATGGAGTCCAAGAGAAATGGATTATTTAAAAGTTGCACTATTGAAGGCAACAGAAAATTGCATTAGGCTTGTCAGTAAAAGCAAAAATTCAAGAAACCACTGTGGTACTCCGCAGATGTGGCCAAAATAGTTAAAAACAAAAAGTTAGCATTTAGGAATTATAAAAAAACCCAGAGTGAGGAAGACAAAATAATCTATAAGATTAGGCAGAAAGAGGCTAAGCAAGTTATAAGAGCTTCCAAATCACACACAGAAGAGAAAATAGCACAGTCAGTAAAAAAGGGGGATAAAACATTTTTTAGATACATAAATGAGAAAAGAAAAGTAAAACAAGGATTAGTTAGATTAAAAACAAAAGAAGGAAGGTATGTAGAAGAGGATAAAGGTCAGGCTGACTGCCTCAATGAATATTTTGTTCTGTATTTACAGAAGAAAATGAAGGAAAGGGACCTCAGTTGAGAAAAAGGATAAATTAGTCATTTATTACACGTGAGTTTACAGAGGAAGAGGTTCTATTTCAACTGTCAAAAGTAAAGACAAATAAGTCAATGGGACCTGATGAATACACCCAAAGCTATTAAAAGAGCTTAGTGGTGTACTAGCAAAACCATTAACAGATTTATTTAACCAATCATTGTTAACAGGAGTAGTCCCAGAAGATTGGAAGTTAGTGAATGTTGTGCCCATTTACAAGAAAGGTAATAGGGAGGAGTCTGGCAACTATAGGCCAGTAAGCCTTACTTCAGTAGTGGGGAAAGTGATGGAAACCATGTTAAAGGATAGGATTGATGAACATCTAAAAACACATGGATTTCAAGATCAGAGACAACATGGGTTTACTTCAGAGAGATCATGCCAAACTAATCTTATTGATTTTTTTGATTGGGTAACTAAAATTATAGATCAGGGTGGTGCAGTAGACATTGCTTACCTAGATTTCAGTAAGGCTTTTGACACTGTTGCACATAGAAGGCTTATCAATAAACTGCAATCTTTAAGTTTGGATTCCAATATTGTTGAATGGGTAAGGCAGTGGCTGAGTGACAGGCAACAGAGGGTTGTAGTTAATGGAATATATTCGAAGCTTGGACTTGTCACCAGTGGGGTACCTCAGGGATCTGTACTTGGACCCATTCTCTTTAATATTTTTATTAGTGATATTGCAGAAGGTCTTGATGGTAAGGTATGTCTTTTGCTGATGATACTAAGATATGTAACAGGGTTGATGTTCCAGGAGGGATAAGCCAAATGACAAATGATTTAGGTAAACTAGAAAAATGGTCAGAATTGTGGCAACTGACATTTAATGTGGATAAGTGCAAGATAATGCATCTTGGACGTAAAAACCCAAGGGCAGAGTACAGAATATTTGATAGAGTCCTAACCTCAACATATGAGGAAAGGGATTTAGGGGTGATTATTTCTGATGACTTAAAGGTAGGCAGACAATGTAATAGAGCAGCAGGAAATGCTAGCAGAATGCTTGGTTGTATAGGGAGAGGTATTAGCAGTAGAAAGAGGGAAGTGCTCATGCCATTGTACAGAACACTGGTGAGACCTCACTTGGAGTATTGTACACAGTACTGGAGACCGTATCTTCAGAAGGATATTGATACCTTAGAGAGGGTTCAGAGAAGGGCTACTAAACTGGTTCATGGATTGCGGGATAAAACTTACCAGGAAAGGTTAAAGGATCTTAACA